GTCCCCTCTTTGTAGTCTCCTCTACATTAGTCCCCTCTTTAAAGAAGTCCCACAGTGTCCCCTTTTCCCCTTCACATCACTGCCCCCCTTTACATCACAGCGCCCCTTAACACAACACAACACCTCTTAACACAACACCTCTTAATACAACACAGTGCCCTTTTAACCCAACCCTTCCCCTGGTACCTTCGGCAGGGCAGAGACACTAATCCTTCTAAGGTGTCCTCTCCTGGGACTCTGGCCCGCCACTGCTGTGGTTCTCCTGGCGGGCTAGGTGTGGGGGGTGGGAGCTGCCTAGGTTGTTGTGTTGGCAGGTGGGTGATTGCCTGGCTTGCATGTGTGGGGGGGCTCCCGCTTTCTGTCTCGAGGTGCAGAGAACAGAGGTTTTTGCATGTTGACTGGCTGGGTGGTCGCCGGCTCCTTCCCCTCAGTTCCAATCTGCAGCTCTTCAATCCCCACCCACCGAGGGGTGGTCCTGTCCAGACAGCGACCATGCCGCTGCTGCTGAGTGTCTTCTTCCGGGTCTCCCGCCTGGCTACTAGTGTCGTCCTCATGGTAGGCAGAGTGTGGGGGGCTGCGGGTCGGGACTGGGGGGCTGGAGCTGGTGATTGCCCAGCTTGTTGGTGTGTGGGGACTTGAGGTGGGGGGGCCGGAGTCTTTTCATCGGTAGCGGGCCTGGCGGTCGCCCACTTGACATGGTGACTTAGGCAGCTCCCGCCCCTTGGTCCCGATCTGCAGCTCTTTGCACCCCGCCCGCTGTGTGGATGGTGTCGGTGGCTGGGTGGGGGGCCTGAGGGAGGGCTCCCGGGGGTGGCGTGGCTGCGGTCCGGACAGGACTGTCCTGCGGTCCGCTATTTAGTGTCCACTGCTCTAGAGTTACTTCCACCCCACAACAGTTGTTGAAATACTTACAAACTATCTAATTTCCAAAATTGTTAGCAGAACAGGTTATGCTTGAAGCTCCACTAACTAAGGAGGTAATAGAAATCACTATCGGTAAATTTAAACCTGCTAAGGCTCCAGGCACTGGCAGGTTGCCGCTTGAATTCTATACCCGTTATGCCGAGATTCTTGTTCCAAAGCTCCTGGCACTCTACAAAGCCATTTTTCAGACCTCTGCTTTCTACAGATTTTATGCATGTGGCGCTTATAGTCCTGATCCCAAACCAGGCAAGGATTTGATTATGCCAGATTCATATCGCCCTATCTCACGAATGCAAACCAATATTAAGATCCTTGCCAAGGTTTTAGTGACACGCCTGAATACGGTTATTACCTCCGTAGTGCATCCAGATCAAACTGGCTTTATGCCCCTAAAAAAACACTGCATTTATTACCAGGAAGCGGTTTATGAATCTACAAGGTACCCACAATCATGTTGGTACAAGAGTTGTGGTTCCTTTATCTGCCGCCAAGGCTTTTGAGTCAGTTGAATAGATACAGTGGGGATCGAAAGTTTGGGCACCCCAGCTAAAAATGTGTATTAATGTGCATAAAGAAGCAAAGGAAAGATGGAAAAATCTCCAAAAGGCATCAAATTACAGATTAGACATTCTTATAATATGTCAACAAAAGTTAGATTTTATTTCCATCATTTACACTTTCAAATAACAGAAAACAAAAAAATGGCATCTGCAAAAGCTTGGGCACCCTGCAGAATTTATAGCATGCACTGCCCCCTTTGGCAAGTATCACAGCTTGTAAACGCTTTTTGTAGCCAGCCAAGAGTCTTTCAATTCTTGTTTGAGGTATCTTTACCCATTCTTCCTTACAAAACTCTTCCAGTTCTTTGAGATTTCTGGGCTGTCTGTCACGCACTGCTCTTTTAAGGTCTATCCATAGATTTTCAATTATGTTGAGGTCAGGAGATTGTGAAGGCCATGGCAAAACCTTCAGTTTACGCCTCTTGATGTAATCCCCCCTGGATTTCGAGGTGTGTTTAGGATCATTATCCATTTGTAGAAGCCATCCTCTTTAACTTAAGCTTGTTCACAGATGGCATCAGGTTACCATCCAAAATTTGCTGAAATTTTATTGAATCCATTTTTCCTTCTACTCGTGAGATGTTCCCTGTGCCACTGGCTGCAACACAACCCCAAAGCATGATTGATCCAACCCCATGCTTAACAGTTGGACAGAGGTTCTTTTCATTAAATTCTGTGCCCCTTCTTCTTCAAATGTACCTTTGCTCATTCCGGCCAAAAAGTTCAATTTTAACCTCATCGGTCCACAGAACTTGTTTCCAAAATGCATCAGGCTTCTCTATATGTTCATTTGCAAAGTTCAAACAATGATTTTTTGTGGTGAGGACGTAGAAGAGGTTTTCTTCTGATGACTCTTCCATGAAGACCATATTTGTACAAGTATCTCTTTATAGTGGAATAGTGTACCACAACTCCAGTGTCTGCCAGATCTTTCTGGAGGGATCGTGCAGTCAAACGTGGGTTTTGAATTGTTTTTCTCACAATCCTGCGAGCTGTTCTGTGTCTGATATTTTTCTTGGTCTTCCAGATGTTGCTTTAACTTCCACTGTTCCTGATGACTGCCATTTCTTAATTACATTCCGAACAGAGGATATTGACATCTGAAAACGCTTTGCTATCTTCTTATAGCCTTCTCCAGCTTTGTGAGCGTCAACTATTTTCAGTTTCAGTTTTCTAGACAACGGCGTAGAAGAACCCATGGTGCTGATTGTTGGGGCAAGGTCAGATGAGTCTGGGCATTTAAAACCTTTGAGATTGACATCACCTGGTCTTCCCAGACGATGATTGAGAACAATCCATGACACTGGCAGGTCTCAGCTTTGCAAAGGGGGCAGTGCATGCTATAAATTCTGCAGGGTGCCCAAACTTTTGCAGACGCCATTTTTTGTTTTCTGTTATTTTGAAAGTGTAAATGATGGAAATAAAATCTAACTTTTGTTGACATATTATAAGAATGTCTAATCTGTAATTTGATGCCTTTTGGAGATTTTTCCATCTTTCCTTTGCTTCTTTATGCACATTAATACAAATTTTTAGCTGGGGTGCCCAAACATTCGATCCCCACTGTATACTTATGGCACTGTCCAAAGCTTTGGTTTTGGCCCTAAATTTATTAAATTAATCTCTATATTATATTCAGACCCTCAGGCTCGAGTGTTGGCTAATGGATGGACATCCAAGACTTTTTCTCTCTCTAGAGCAGTGTTGTCCAAAGTTCATAGTCGTGGAACTCCACCCCTCCCCCAAAGTGAAAACAATAAATGCGATCAGTAATATTTTTATTCAGGTACATTTTTTAAGACTAACAACTTTTATTATTATACCAGTATAATTGGAAATTTAAATTGAAAATTATATCTAAAAATATATAAACATCAATTCTATCATAGCATGTCATGAACTTGATTATATGTGTATTGTAATGTAAGAATTGTAGTATGCTATGAATGTCACAGCCATCCATCCATCCATCCATACATACATACATACATAAGAAGGCAATTATGAACAATGAAATCTAATGGAAAGCGTGAGCTTGCTTGCGATCACAGATCAAACTTATTCGAGGCTTGCTGGTGGACAAGCTCACATGCATTTCTTCATTGATTAATTGAAGTCTCTTGTTTTTTCGACTTCATTTCCATTAATACTGAAACGGCAACAGCAATTTAATCGCTTCCATGCTAAGCAGCAGATAATGAGCTTCCAAACATATTCAAAATTCTGATAGCTCTTTCTCAGCAAAGAGATTTTTATACACCAGATCATTTCTCAAATCAATGAGGTTTTCTTCAGCTTCTGGTTCGAGAAGAATGATTTTATGTTTGACGAAAGGACTGAGCACCCACTCGATTCTGGAGACATCCAGGTTTGGGAAATATTTCTGGAAAGGAAGTTTTGAATATTTCCAAATTCATTCCGCGGAACACACTTTGGACAACACTGCTCTAGAGGTACCTGTCATGGATGTCTAATATACACTTTGGTGGTCGAACCTCTAGCCATAAAAATCCGATCAGCCACTGGAGGGTGTGGACTACACAGAGGAGAACTAATTGAAAAGATTGGACTTTATGCTGATGATATGATACTGTACCTAGCCAATTCTGGTTCGTCCTTGTTGCAGACTTTAGACTTCATAGAACAATTTGGAAATTTTTCTGGCCTCAAAATTAATTGGGATAAATCTCAAATTCTTCCTATAGATTCCTTTTCCCCTCTTGCTATAAAAGTCCCTGTGCCATTAGTGCATGTTAACACCATCAAATATTTGGGTATGCAAGTATCTAGATTACCTACTGACTATATTGCCATAAATGTAGAACCCCTGTTTTGGCAATGCCCATGGATAAATGGATTTTGGGCCCAGGTAGTCCAATTTTTACATGACCATATGGGTTCTCCTGTATCCTTGGATCCAAAGCCATATTTGTTAGGAATAATGCCCGCTTCAGACACTGATAGGCCTTTGACTACTTTTTTACACGAAATGTTTAGTGCCAGGAACTTGGTAGCCCATCATTGGATGCAGGCACTTGCTCCAACTTTGGAAGAGTGAACAGCAGATATTAACACTCTACCCTTGAGGAAATTGATATATGTTGATAGAGGATGTCCCAACAAATATAATAAAATATAGGATCGTTGGTTACAATCTGCGAATACTTGCACCTATATGGGATGGTCTGTTACATTGGGACATAGTCACTAGCCGTACCGCCTCTGCAGTAAATGGCTATATACTCTGGACAGGTCATTATTTGTTGTCTTATTTACATTCTCACCATGTCGATTTTCTTTGGTTTTGTTTAATGGTTTACTACCATTCCTGTATAATCTTTATACGACACAATTATTTCTACTGTTAGATTTCGGTTTTATTTTTCAATCAATAAAGATTTTGCCTTTTTGGTAAAAAAAAAAATATATTTAATTGCTCACTCCTGTTATTGTTTGCACATTTTTTTTCTTTATTGCTTTGTATAATTAACGCTTAATCGTTTTGCCCACTAACAGATTACATCCGAACATTCACATGGGACAAGAAACTTGAAATGGTTGTCAAATCTACTGGCATCCTGGGTGGCCAAGGTTAGTTGACAATTTTCTAGATTTTTGCTTTGAATCATTTAGCATCAAGTACATAAAAATGCATTGCCTTTCATCATGACGTGGCAATATCATCTTTCTATGTTATGATCTGTCACTGGGAAAATTGTACAGAGACTCTGAATGTAACTAAGATAAAAGCAAAAACTACAGCTGTAAAGCAGCTAATAACGAGTACTGTAAAAGAACCTTCAAAAATGTATTTCTCCAGCTAATTATAGCTTAGTGGCCTTATTCTATATGCAGGACCTTTTGTGCTTGCTTTCAAGTAGCCGGAATTATGTATAAATAAGCTTTTAGTGAGTAGGTAGTTCTAAGCACTACTTGACAGCCTATTAGGTATCAGTAAGTCAGCACTTTGGACAGTAAAACTCAAACACATAAATGGCAGACCTTCTGAGTGCTTGCATAGTAAAATGTAGTTATGTATGACCTCTAAGGGCTGATTTACATCTATACATTGCAGCAACTAGCATGTTACCACAGCGCACATTACATGATGCGTTACAATGCCATTCATTTTGAATGACACCCCAACATACTAAGGCAGTGCATGTGTTGCGACAAAAATTAAACCGAATTAAACTCCCATTAATGCGTAGCATAACACACAATAATGCTCATGCAATAATACAGCACATGTGTAAATGAGGCCTACATGTTTTTTGTGTAATATGTAGAAATGTCAGGTCAGGTAGAGGTTGCACAATCTATATACAGGCAGTCCCCGGGTTACGAACAAGATAGGTTCTGCAGATTTGTTCTTAGGTTGAATTTGTACGCACGTTGGAATAGGCACAAGTGCAACTCCAGATAGAAAATTATTTTTACGTTTTGGATAGCATAGGGAGGGGTTAACTGGCAATGCAGTGATGTGGGATTGTGGACAGGTCTGCTGAACAGTAGTTGACAGCATGCTGCGAGCAGCAAGATGGCCACCTGGTGGCTTCTGGGAAGAGCGTGACATCACACTGCCTCCATTCTTAAGAATGTTTAACTCGGGGACTGCCTGTACTTGAATTGAAATACTTACATTATTTACTTTTGCAAATGATATGTGTTGCTTTATATCTGAGTGCAGGTTGCAAAAATAGCTGTCAACATTTCTCACAAACCAAAGTCCAGAAACTAATAACTGTTCTGGAAATTTAGATAAGTTAAGTTATACTACACCGTATTCGAAGTACTCAATACAATGGTCAGATTTAGTTATATCAATCATTATATCATCCACAAGGGAGCTCTATTAGAATTACAATTGTGCAGTACTGTTAGTCAAGTTTTGAAATAATTTGATTAGTCATTGTTTCGGCTTAGTGTTTTATTTCTTTAGGTGTATAGGATTTTAGACTGTCTGTTTTTACTACATGCATACATTATATGTTCAAAAACACTTAAAGTTTTTACGGAGTACTATGGATTTTTCACCTGTCGGGTAGATTCTCTTCTTGAAACCTCAGGAGAGACAGACTACTCTGAATCATTCATTTTTGTGTGTACATTTCAACCTGAGCTAATAAGCTCTGTAAGCAAAGGGCTGTTTACAATCATGGAGATCTTGGAAAACATGAAAATGAGCCTAAAGAAAGCATGAATAGAAAACTTCATTATACTCATACCTATGTGATTAACTGCACTGTTTACAGTGGCCAGACGGGAGAAGCGTCAGTCCTATAGGATTTGCACTTACCTCCCACTTCCAGAGCCGGCCATGTGATGGCTGTGTCCCTTGGACACAGCACATTTCTGATTGGTAAACCGCTTCTCTGATTGGCCCTTCATAAAATGTAAACAAGAGCCACGTGTCTGTATCTGCTCTCCTCCTCACACAGAGAGCCACTTTGTACAGCCTGTCAGGGATCTGTGTGTAACCACTAATTTTACTGTGCAGTTACACAAAGCGCACACAGTGCAACCATCTGTCAACAGTGCACCAAGCAGCATCAGTCAGTGTCTAACTGCACATCAGCTGTATCAGTGTCAATATCTGTCGCAGTGTACTAATGCACATCAACTTTTGTCAGTGTACCATCAACATCTGCAATAGCGTCCTATTGCAACATCAACACGTAATTGTTCCAGTGGTCCATCGACATCTGATGGCGTCCCTAGTGGACAGTCAACATCTGTCACGGTGTCCCTAGTGGACAGTTAACATCCATCACTGTATCCCAGGGCACCAATATATGTCAGTACAGGCTCAACATCTGTCAGTGTCCCAGTGCACATTGACAGCTGTCAGTGGTAGCATCATCTGAATGCCATATCTAAAAAAAATTGTGCACCAGTGAGGAGGCATTCCAGATTTTAAATATGACAAATGAGTAATGGCGAACTCTCACTTAGACTCTACAGGTTCATGTACAGTATCCGACGGTGTACATTCAGAGTGCAGTGGGTCAGTAACTGTTTCAAAGGAGGAATGGGTCCCAACAAAGATGCAGGCAATCTGAGGAGGAGCAGGCAACCATCACCAGTGCTGTACATCCTGGTGAAGTGGCGAGTACCAGCATCGCAGAACACCCCGATGACAGTTTGGGTACTAATATTGGGGTGTCACGTTCGCCACAAAAAATTAGGGCTTAAACCACAAGTGGTATTGCCATACTCAGGAGGAGTAGCAGAGTGTGTTTTGGGGTGTAATTCGAAACATGCCTAAGCTATGGGTTAACTTTGTCTATGCCTATATTTTTTTAATGGTTCCTGTCAGGCCACTGTAGATACAGTTTCACTTTTCTTTCCACATTTTCCAAAAGCTTATGGCAAAAAAAATGCATGTTCAAAAAACTCATCATGCCTCATAGAAAATATGTTGGGGTACTTGCTTTCCAAACTGTGGTCATTTTGTGGGTGTTTCCACTGTCTGGATGCTTTAGCACCTCCAAAAATGTGACGGGCAATCAAGATAATGTGTAATATATGCTACTTGAAAGCCTGAAGGTGCTCCTTGGATGTTGGGCCTCTCTATGTGGCTAGGTTGTGAAAAAAATCTTGTGTAGTTTCGCCATACTCAGGACACGTAGCAGAATGTATTTTGGGGTGTATTTCTTAGTATGTCCATGCTGTGTGTTAGAAATATCTTATGACAACTTTGTGTTAAAAAAATAAATACAATTTTCTTTCCATTTTTCAAAAACTTGTTGCAAAAATGACATGATCAAAAGATTCATTATGTTTCACAGAAAATACATTTGAGTGTTTGCTTTCCAAAATGTAGTAATTTTGTCAGTGTTTCCATTGTCCCGGTGCTCCAGAGCCTTCCACAATGTGATAGGTAGTCAGAAAATTAAATACTGAATTTATGCTTCCTGAAAGCCCAAAGGTTCTTCTTGGATTTTGGGCACTCCTACATACAGTAGAATGAGAATCAACGTAGCCACCCTCTAACAGGAAGTTGGATCACAGCAGCAGCATAAAAAAATCTTCAGGATGATGAGTCATAGGATGTACTTTTTTTGTGTTAGGAATATACAGTCAGGTCCATAAATATTGGGACATCGACACAATTCTAACATTTTTGGCTCTATACACCACCACAATGGATTTGAAATGAAACAAACAAGATGTGCTTTAACTGCAGACTGTCAGCTTTAATTTGAGGGTATTTACATCCAAATCAGGTGAACGGTGTAGGAATTACAACAGTTTGCATATGTGTCTCCCACTTGTTAAGGGACCGAAAGTAATGGGACAGAATAACAATCATAACTCAAACTTTCACTTTTTAATACTTGGTTGCAAATCCTTTGCAGTCAATTACAGCCTGAAGTCTGGAACGCATAGACATCACCAGACGCTGGGTTTCATCCCTGGTGATGCTCTGCCAGGCCTCTACTGCAACTGTCTTCAGTTCCTGCTTGTTCTTGGAGCATTTTCCCTTCAGTTTTGTCTTCAGCAAGTGAAATGCATGCTCAATCGGATTCAGGTCAGGTGATTGACTTGGCCATTGCATAACATTCCACTTCTTTCCCTTAAAAAACTCTTTGGTTGCTTTTGCAGTATGCTTTGGGTCATTGTCCATCTGCACTGTGAAGCGGCGTCCAATGAGTTCTGAAGCATTTGGCTGAATATGAGCAGATAATATTGCCCGAAACACTTCAGAATTCATCCTGCTGCTTTTGTCAGCAGTCACATCATCAATAAATACAAGAGAACCAGTTCCACTGGCAGCCATACATGCCCACGCCATGACACTACCACCACCATGCTTCACTGATGAGGTGGTATGCTTAGGATCATGAGCAGTTCCTTTCCTTCTCCATACTCTTCTCTTCCCATCACTCTGGTACAAGTTGATCTTGGTCTCATCTGTCCATAGGATGCTGTTCCAGAACTGTGAAGGCTTTTTTAGATGTCGTTTGGCAAACTCTAATCTGGCCTTCCTGTTTTTGAGGCTCACCAATGGTTTACATCTTTAGGTAAACCCTCTGTATTCACTCTGGTGAAGTCTTCTCTTGATTGTTGACTTGACACACATACACCTACCTCCTGGAGAGTGTTCTTGATCTGGCCAACTGTTGTGAAGGGTGTTTTCTTCACCAGGGAAAGAATTCTTTCGTCATCCACCACAGTTTTCCATGGTCTTCCAGGTCTTTTAGTGTTGCTGAGCTCACCGGTGCATTCCTTCTTTTTAAGAATCTTCCAAACAGTTGTTTTGGCCACGCCTAATGTTTTTGCTATCTCTCTGATGGGTTTGTTTTGTTTTTTCAGCCTAATGATGGCTTGCTTCACTGATAGTGGCAGCTCTTTGGATCTCATCTTGAGAGTTGACAGCAACAGATTCCAAATGCAAATAGCACACTTGAAATGAACTCTGGACCTTTTTATCTGCTCATTGTAATTGGGATAATGAGGGAATAACACACACCTGGCCATGGAACAGATGAGAAGCCAATTGTCCCATTACTTTTGGTCCCTTAACAAGTGGGAGGCACATATGCAAACTGTTGTAATTCCTACACAGTTCACCTGATTTGGATGTAAGTACCCTCAAATTAAAGCTGACAGTCTGCAGTTAAAGCACATGTTGTTCATTTCATTTCAAATCCATTGTGGTGGTGTAAAGAGCCAAAAATGTTAGAATTGTGTCGATGTCCCAATATTTATGGACCTGACTATATACTTGAATAGAATTTTTATTCAACTGTGGGATTTGTAGTGTGCATAGAGCATCGCACATGCTCATTCCAAACAAACGGAAGTCAGGGAGAAAATGAAAATGTTCAGGAGCTCACAGATGATGTTACAAAGAGGCATAAAAACACAGTAAGACAATTTATTGAAAAATTGATTTTTGTATAAGCTGCAAATCCATATGATGTATCACAAAATGTGAGGTGTGCTTTGCATAGTTGTATTGATTATTTACACTTTTGTAGCTCTTGGCATGATTGAAGTGAAAAAGGTTTGCTTGACACACAAATTTTGCAGAACTGGACTATAAAATAATGTGATATTAATGCTAGAACCTAGTCAGAGCATATCATGTATTTGTGCTATGCTCAGTGATGCCTTTTTTATTTATTTTATTTATTTTTTGAAGAGCTGGCACCTGTTAAAATCTAACTTTCCACTTTGTAGATCAGGCTTCAAAAGTCATCTGACACATGGCTGATATGTTTTGGTAAATGCCCTTGCTTCTACAGAGCCATAGCAGCAGAGATATAGTGAGCTTGTAATTCAAGAGAGAGTTCATTTGCTATAGCCTATGGAATTCATTATACTATTTTTGCATTGTATTTGTTAAGGAAAACCACGAAACCCAGGCATATTTGAATGTGTCCATGCTCCATTCAATAAATTATCATTAAATAGCAAAAAAAAACTATTTTTTTTTCATAGTTTTTCATTTATTTACATTTTATCTTGTTTTCTTAACACCTAGGTAAGATGCCGACTGTAGTATCTCCAGAGCTGTATCGAACTCGATTCTGTGAAGCAATGGATAAGTATTTTCTGATGGTACCTGACCACTGGACTGGTCTTGGAGGCAACTGCTAGAATTCAAAGACCAGGAAGATAGTCATCACAGCACAAAAAACCTTTACTTAACATTCTCTACTTGGGTTTTGTCTATATCTTTAGAGCTTTTTAATTACAATTATAGAATGTTGATGAAATGTTTAAAAACCTCATATAATTATTTGTACATAGAGAAAATTGTAACTTGTTTTACAACATTGTAAATCCAGGGATTGTATGTAAATGAGACCTGTTTTGAAATGAGGACCATGAGTAAAAATGCAATTCTGTTAAATGAGAACTTTTCTCGAATAACAGAAAATGTCAATATGGTGACTGCTGTGCAGCCAGTATCTTCAGATTTTGTATAGATTCAAGATAGTCTCCTGTATAGTTGTCCAGGACATTTTCTGCTGCCTGCGTTACTAGCATGAAATTGTAAGCATCAAAACTTCTTTTGATGACTTTACATCTCTTCATATATCCATCTCTATATTAGTTTTGCTGCTCCAGGGCTTTATTGGAAAATCTATTTCTGTCTCTAAATGTCCATTCATCATGTTTATACAGCAGCGCCAGGGTTATTTGCTGCTATAAATGTGACAAATTTTAAGTTCGTTCAGTTTTGAGATTCACTGTTGCCGCTTGGAAGCTGATGTAGATAGCAATGGTGGACTTGAAGAGCTTGAGAACAACAGTTACAAGTATTAGTAGGATTACAGATATAGTTTAATGTATGATCCTATGAAGGACTTAATTCACCATTTCATGTGTATTTGGGTCAAGCTAGTTAATAATGTAATTTTTATCACAGCTCTGTGCCTCTGCTCCAGTAATTCTGTATTCTAAAGGCCTTAATACTTCAGCCTGAAGAATTTGTATCATGTGCTCCTGCAGAATGACATACACAGATAGTAGAGTCAGAGGTGCACGACTTAAGACCTTTAGAATGACCAGTTAGGGACATCAGCATGGAGGTATGGGGCTGGTGTGGGAAGTCCAGAATTATAAAGGAATCTTTATCTGTACACATCAGAATAATAAACTTTGCCAAGATGAGTGATATTTTAAAGGTGCCTGTTGGTATATGGGTATGGAGGCTGCCCCCAGTGACTTTTTTAATGTACAAACATTAGGGCTGTTATTTTTGCTTCAGTAATTTGGGAGTCGCTGAATCCCTAAATAGCAAGTTACTGAACATTTCACACCTGATATGCAAAATGCTTGTTTGTGACCAGGGGCTTACTGAGCAGTTAAAGAGAAGGATGTTAGTCCCAAGGCATGCTTGTACAGAAATAAAGCTGTCGTGACAACTCTTGTAATAAGACCAGATGCTAAAATGTGTGCTGACAACAATCCTTTTTTTTTTTCCATTTTTTTTTTAAAAACTAGAATGTTTGAGTTTAAGCAGTCTATACTAATTCACATGGGCCCACAAATAACTCTCAAGAACACCAGCCCTTCTAGTAAATTCTACAGCTGATAATTGGCATGTCAGGGCTAGAGATGAGTCAGATTTAATATCTAGGTCTTTACAGGAATGCTTTAAGAAAGAACCCCTCATTGCTAGCAAAGTTCTAAATACAGTAAACACTTACATGACTCTTTCAGCAGTAGTCGTTTTAAAAGTAGGTTGACATGTGCATTAGCCCTTCTTTACAAGGCTTCTCTATTTAGAGTGTAACTACTTATGTTTCCTTTTTTATTTTTGTTTTATATTGCTATAGAAAGTTTTTTTTTTTTTTTTTTTTTTAAGAGAAGAGTTTTTGTAGTATATGAGATCAAAATCTGCCTTGCTTTATTTGCACACTTGCAGATATATAATTGCTTTTTGGACAGAATACGTGTGCAGTTATGACATTTTGTATTTGACCTTATGATTTTATTATGTTACTAAAATTGTAGGTCTTAAAATGTGTGTAGCTGCTTTAAAAGCTAGGAAAGGGGGCTTTTAATAAAATTGACTCAAATGAATGTGAATGGTCAGAGTAAATATCACACAGCAATCCAGCACATAAAGTAACCTAATGCATACAGTTAAATACATATACAGGAATTTAGGCGTAAAATGGTTTGAACATGAATACTGCTCTGTATTCTTTGTAAATTCTTACTTACAGACAGAATATTTCCATTTAGGGAGAACAGGTATAAAATCAAGAGCCCATGCAGAAGATCTTTATACAGTAGATATATTCTATATAATACAACATTTAAAGGTGTGGGGGTAATGCCTGCTTCAAGATACTGTATTGCTTTTTTTTCTAGAAGATGTGGACTTTTATGTTTAGATCAGAAAGGACAGAGAGTTGTACCATTGGTTGGGAAAGACCTTGTTATATCTGGGAAAGGGAAACGTTGAAGAAAAATCTGAGGACCTTCAACCAGTCACAACATAATTTTAGTGGTGGGGGCCAGGTGTCTGTAAATGTAAACTTCAGCATCACTTTTTATATACAGTACTTGGCAGTTTTTCCAATGATCTGTCTTCACTAAGCTGCTTCTCAATAGATCAATGCAAGTGGTCAGTGAATCATGACAGATCGCAGTGGCACCACAGTGAGAACGTGGGTTAAACTGGTAGAGATCTTAATGGGTTGTAGACCTAAATGGAGGGTTTTGACTTGCCCATGTCCCATAACTCTCAAGCCAGAACAAAATTTATTGTTTGGGTGAGAGAGGATTGCTACATTCGGGAGAGGATTCTGAATGTGCATATCATTGTTGATCAAGAAACAGGCCAGACTGGTAGCATTTTTCCCATACAGCAGGTGGTGGTGGATATTTATATCAACCCCCTCCATCCCATGTTTTTAAAGGGATTCATACAAGGTAGCAGTACTAAAATAATGTTCCTATCCAATCTCAGTCAGCAAGCTATGAGATAGAAGTGCCCTTGGAGCTCCAATATCTAGGCTACTATTTTACAAAATCTCAACTCCATCTATGAAGCGGACACCTCCCACGGCTTAGTTGATATGAAGCCACCCTTCAGTGCACGAGCCAGTAGGGAAGCATGCAAAAGGCATGGCCAAGCACGGAAATTCTAGATGCAGTTGAGATTTTCACAATAGACCACTTTGCGTTTTTTGGCTGCTGAAGCATTCATAAATATGTTGAACTAATGTACAGGATCTGGATGAGTAGTGGTTTATTCAAATGGCGAGGTAGTAATTTCTGATCTTTGTTCAGGTTTGCTAAGTTTAGTTCAAGGAGCACAGCTTGTATTAAATGGTGTTCAAAATAACTGTGATTGATCGAACTCTGGCTATTTGTAACGTTATACCCCGTAGTCCTGAATGCTGCATTAACTCTATGACCTAATAGATAATATGCATAGACCACGTTATAAAAATGCTAAATTCATTTTGTTTAGGCATACTTGGAAAAAAATGAGTAACGCTATGTATGTACTGCAGTTTCAATTCACCAGGAAGATGTTTTAGAACATTTAACTTTTATTTTATCTGTAGCAGGGTAGTACATTGTCTTGATCGAATATTATTGTGTTTTTGAATTGTGGCCTTTTGCATATGTGGTATAAGCATACTATGGTCAAACTTTTCACAACATTGTTTGTGTTTTTTGTTTTTCCTTAAAGAACGTTTAGCACTTTATCTTCACGCCTGTACCTCACTTGTCAATCCATCACAGTATCTACACTCCGTTAAAAAAAAAAGATTTTTTTTTTTTTTTTTTTTCAAATATTTCACATCTATTTTTTCTACAACTGAGCAGATACCCAATTTATTCATTCTACAATATCAACTTGGTGTATTTACACATTTATTTGATTAGTCTTTGCACCTTTTGAGCATCACTATCCTCTATGTAACTATTACATTATGTTACATTAATCCATCAAATACAGCAAGTCTAGGAAAAAAAATGTTCCCCTGCATTTGATTGGATGTTTAAAGCAAACTCAACTGCACCACTAAAAAGTGTAAATATCTTCCATTAATGTACTCTTGTATTTAGCAGTGCTGCTGTAGGAATAGGAACCTTGCAAAAAAAAAAAAAAAAACACCTGCACTAATATCTGCTGTGTGATGGCGGATTGTCATGAGATTATACAAATCTATATTCCAGGCATTTTTTACCAACAGTAATTGCAAATGCATGTAGTAATTTTAAATAAATACACATAAAAGGACCAAAGGTTTATTAGAATTGCCAGGACTTATGCTTTACATATTAATAAACCATCAATTCTTGTATTTAGTTCTGTGTATTCTAATTGTTTCCTTCAGTTTTCAAGATAAATAGTAGTAGTTATGGTAATGTTGATTTTGTTTCCGTTATCCAAGTTGATTTTAAAGTGTAATTGGTCTTATAGACACTGAATAAACACTTAACTGATCTGTTTCCCCAGTGATGTGTTTCAGCTTATTTCAGCTCTCTGAACATAGAACAGTGTTATGTCTTTCAACTATAAAAGCTTTATGTAAACTGCCTGATCATTTGTATGCATGTTCATGAGCTTATCTCAGCAGATCATTTGCCTCCAGTTTTTGTTATATTTTTAAAGGGCATCCCCGGAACATGACATGTTGCAGTCCATAGCACAATGGCACAACTGGGCCTTATAAAACTTTAGTCATGACCGTTTTGTATATATATATTCCCTGTTTTATTTGACTACTGAAAGATTATGTAAAATCATTATAATCACACCCTGCTATGAAATGTAGATAATTCATGTTAGAAATATTTTCTAGATGCCCTGTAAAGCTCCCACGCTGTATTTGATTGTTTCTGTATTATAGTTTTCCATAATCTGTGGTAAATTAATATGTTCCTGGATGAATATGTAGCATACGCAATATGCTTTGCTTTATGTAGATTTACTGCAATTCCTTTTTTTTTTTTTTAAACTGTGTGCCACCTGTTATTAAACAGGTGTATATAAAGTGTTTGTACAGATTATTATTGTAGATATTTGGTCCAAGACCCGTTTTAATTCTATTTTATACAACTGACTTCTTAAAGTATTTAATAGTAACAATGTATAATTCTCTAGAAAATGTACTGTTTAT